GGGGACAGCGGCCCCGGAGCCACGGCAGCTCGCTCAAGCACACCAACCCCTGCCAGAGAGAAAGCTGTGTCGTCATCCCTCGGGGTCTTTGGGTTGAGGACTGGCACTTACACAATGAAAGAGACTGAAGTGCTTCAAAAAGTATAAAATGCTGTTTATGGCCTCGATTTGAATACATTAGAAGTCTGTTAATTCTGGGTGCGTGCAGGAAACCCAGATGGCTGATATTTGCACTCTGTTTAGGTGATGCACTGGACACCTAGTTTAACTGCAAATATCAAACCACGATGAATCTCTCCTGCCTGCAGACAGAGCACTAACGTGATCTTATCCGCACCATTAATTTGTTCTGCATTCTTGGGCAGCGCCCACCTCTATTCCCTACTTTCCCGAACCATAAATACCCTGAGTAACCACGCTATGCCGTACCAGTTTGGTTTTGTATCGACATGCTTTTGGTGTGTGGAGACACCACGTCTGTGTCACAAATACGAGGCTTTCAAAGCCTTCTGGAAAAGGCAAGGGTCTGTGCTCGCCTGCCTCCCCCTCCCCGCTGCTCCCACGGAGAGGCAGATGCCCAATTGCCGGGAGAGCCATCCGCCTCCTCGCCTCAGCTGGCGCGACTCTGGCAGGCTGTTTCCTTAGGAGAACATCTCCTTTTGCATCGCTTCTTGACACAGATACTTAAACAGAGCGAAATATGAAGAGTGTGTAAAACAATAGGCTCCGGTAACTGCCACATGATACCCAGTGCAAAGGGAAAAAGGGACCAGGTAAGCAAAATGCTGCTGTCAGAGAAATGCTGGACCTTACCAAGTTCAGCTTTAAAATCATTAGAAAAGAATACAAATTCAAGTGTGCCCACAGATGGTTATTTAGACTGGCTCCTCACTGTTAGGAACCCAATTTAGCGTTAGATAATGAGGTTTTGTTATCATCTGACCCTTTTGCCAGCGTTAATACATTACAAAGAAAAGCTTCCTTTTAAATCTGGAAAAAAAAACCCCATCAAAGGCTGCAGAATAGGTTGTCATCATCATCACGGGGAATTCCTACTTCTGGCCAAAACCACGAAACCCCCTGCCCACCCCCGTCCCCCAGCTACTCAGCATTCAAAGAAATGCAGGTGAGCCCCCAGGGCAGGGGTTGTTCTTCCATATACGCCAACACCGCTGCTCTTAGAATTGTGCTGCCTTTTTTTTTGTTGCATATGGGTTGGAATGAGAATTTACATCCCAGAAAGCTTTCCCCCTCCAGAACATGACATTAAAATCAATTAAAAGCTCCTGAGATTCGACCCAAAGTCCTGGTGGGATACGGCAGCCCGTCAGGGCATCTCTGCCGCGCGGTGCCTGGGGGGGTGGTGGGGAGCTGGTTTGTGCTGCAGGACCAGCCCAGTAGATGACCGGGCAGGTGGGATGTCCTTCTGGAAGGCCAGCGATCATCAGTGTTTGTAGAGTGTATTTATAGAGGCGAGACACTGATAAGATCCTTCTATAGGCTTCTCCAATTCTAGATTTTGGCAAGATCATCATCTACACTAATAATCTGAAAATCATCCGTGCACCAATGGACCAGAAAGAGCTCATGAGAAGAGTCATCCAGACTGAGGGAATAAATGACTGGGCCTTCATATACCGGGAAAGGAAAGAAAGATTTGGTGGTGGACATAAAAAAGATGTGGAAAAAAAGGTTGCCTGCAGCCAGTATGTGCAGGTAAGAGAAAATGGAAAGTGCTTTTTTTTCCCCTAAGGCGTTTGGGTCTTACAGCCCTGGTCAGACAACTGAGTATTCCTACCCAAGCCCCATCAATGTCTCTATCCGGCACTTAACTAAATTTGGATTAAAAGCATCACTTTGTTCCTCTTTCCACTCGGGAGATAACCGATCAGTGCTGCACTGCCCTGTGCGCTCTGGGGACAGCTGTTCTCTTTCCAGATGTTCGTGTCTCCCACTCGATTCTTCCCCTGGAGATCACTGATGTTTATGCAGTTTGGCGTAGGCCCGTCCTTCGTCACTGTCTCCCAGTGGAATAAGAGCGGGCCAGAGTTTCTCCAGCCTGACGAGGCCAAACACAGCTGCTCTGTGGTTGAGACTGCCGGAGGCTAAAATTTTAATATCGGCTGAATTAAGATTGTGCCTTCCACTTGTTTTCTCACGGGTTAGTCTTTGTTGGTCAGAATCCCAATTAGTCTGACCATAATCTGATCCCACAAAACATAATGTTGTTGTGGAAGGCAAATACGCAGCGTTAGAGTTTTGCAGATCTGCGACCGACCCGTGCCGAGCGCCGGTGACCGTGGTCCTTCCGCAACCCCCCGCCTTGCTCCCGGCTCCCTCGCACAAAGACCCAGGAACACTGCAGACAGCCCTGAGAACCCAGGCAGGAATTTTGGCCTTTGCCAGTTTGGAAATATACTTGATTTTCAGAAAGAGGGTTGGAACATAAAAGCCGGGGTTATCCCCTCTACTGGCAGACACCTCTCTGAGTCAGCAAAAAGTCACTTGTGGCCTTTGTGGGAACGTGTGTGGAAAAGGACCTCCATAAGGAAACGACTGCCTTCCTCCGGTCACCCTCGCTGCAGGAGCACGCTTTGGAGACGGACAACAGCTCCTGTAAGGCAGTGCTCCAGGGAAGTTTGTTAACCTTGAGAGAGCTCAGCAAAGTGCTTCTGTTCTTGATGTTTGGGAACAAAAAGTAAAACCTGAAGGTCCTAAACCTATCATTTTTTTGGAATAATTTCGGGCTTTCTATATACTGGTATTGGGAACATTCATTTAAAGATGACCAAACCGCAGGAAGGTTATTCTTCTGAGAAGTCAATTAATTTGGACTATCCAATTGACAAGCAGGCACCAGTATCGGGCACCAACTCCCCATATCTCAGTGAAACCTGGCTCTGTAGGGCCATGTAAAGCAGAACCGCTGCACAGGAGCGATGCAGGACTCTGAGCATGACATCAAAAGAACGAACCTATGCTGTGCTACCTTCTTCCCCACGCAGATATTTAATCATTTCTGGGCTCTGCGGAAGCACTGAATTTTAAGCTGGGATTGGTAAGAGGCTGCCTGGCAGCCTGGGGAGGGTCACGGGCACAAGGCACAGCTGGGAAGAAGCTGTGCGTGTCGGTGATGGGGGCCCGGGGGGGAGAGGGCGAGGAGAAATGCCTGAGGAAATGAAGTGTGGCTCAGAGCAGAGGATGCAGAGCTGAGGAGACGGGTGCATTAAGACATGACAGGAAGACGGGCAGAGCTATGCAGAGCCTGGTGGGAGGAGAAGGATGAATTTGGAAGTATTGTGTTATAAGCCCGGTCCCATTGACTACTCCTTTTCTAGAAGTATCCACAAATTGTCCCCAAACATACAGGAGCCTTTTTCTTGAAGACCTTGCTGTAGAGGACTGAGTGTTACCGGCAGAGTGGTGTGTCAGGAGTGATAATTACTTGAAAGACCAGAAGACAGAATTTCCCTCTTTCACGTGTGTTGCCAACTTGGGTGTCTGACATCCAGTAACCCATGTGTTTCCTGATCTGTCTCTTTCAGGACGGTGATGCCGAACGCGGTTGTTCCCGGTGTAAAGGGTCAGGCTCTGCTCCTTGCTCACTGTGCCACGGAAGCAAGTTTTCGATGTTGGCAAACAGATTCAGAGAGTCCTACAGGGCTCTCCGCTGCCCGGCCTGCAATGAAAGCGGTCTCCAGCCCTGCCAGATCTGTGCCGCCTGATCAGCACCGCCGTCCCTGCGGCGGGCTATAAGCACCACAGCAATGTTTTGTTGAAAACTTGGAATTATTTAACCTTCAAGCAGCCTCGCTATAATGACGAGTTTTTAAAAGATGGGAAAGGCACATTACACATATCTCACCGTAAATGTGAACACCGCAGCTCTGCTACCGACTGTCCCTCTTGTCTGACACACACCTCTCTAGCTTTGGGATCAGCCCCGACCCCCGCGTCTGCAGGGGGCAACACAGCCCCGGCACCAGAGGAAATTATCAGCATTGGGAAGTTAAGCACCTGTGTAAATGTCTCCGGCATCAGGAAGTCAGCCTGAATTTGCTGGCACTGCCCCTGGCTGGGGAGCTCGGTGCCCGGCACAGCCGCGTCCCGGCACACCAGGCGCTCCACTAACACACTGAAAGCAGCAGAAGTAGGTGCAGTTTGGGCACGTCGGTAACACGACAGGGTGGGGAGTCTGTTTGTACGACAACAGCAGAGCCGTGCCTCCCCGAGGTTTTAACTTGCTGAGTGTTTTAAAATTACACTGTCTTTTGTAGTTAACCCTGTACGTGCCCTGCAGTGTCCCAAGCATCTCCTGAAGATTTTGCCGGTTCTTACATCTGCTTTAGCGGACACAACGATTCCTTTGGGGTCTGATTTATGGGAAGAAATTGAAAACCCTTCCCAAACCTGGAGCTATAAAAAAATGTACAATAATTTATTATTATAAATAGAAGTTATTAAGTTTTTAGCCTACTTATGAGGAAGTGCTGAACTAAAATTCCCCTGTACGATGCTCAGCACTTTTCAGGATCAGGCTGGTGGTGAGCAGGATTTCTGTTGCTTAATATTAATCCCATGTTGTAATCTGCAGAAGGTAAACTCTAATTAGTTGAGGTGAGGCAATGATGTGGGGTACTTTGCAGGCTGCCACGGGTGGCACAGAACACAGGGGCTTCAAGAGGTTGAGGCAAACAGGGGAAATAGTATTTTTCCCCAAAGCATTAACTTATTACATTTGATATTCACGAGTAATGTTAAAGCATGCTTAACTCACATTATTACCTCTGAGACTCTGATGAGTTAAGAGACTGCCCACATGTACTTCACGCTGAGGTTGCAAGCCTAGACACGGTAATTTATGGCCAAGTTTCTATTTTCCTATGGTAGGTTGTAAGATTTCTCTGCAATACTTAAATGATTAGAAATAATGCCGTTTTCGCTCTTAGACTTCCATATGCCGCCTACTGAAATTGTGCAGTGGGTACTGAGGCTTTATTTTTTCCCAAAAAGTGCATAAACCTATAGCAGATACTTGATCGGCTTCATTTATCATATCAGGATCTGCGATATGAAAAAATGTAGTCCTTGGGGTACTCATTGGTGGCAGCTGAGACCTCACCAGTCCGAAATTGTTCTCAAGTGGATCTCTTCCCACAAATTTGACCTGTTGGATCTCGCAGTGTGTTGGGCTTGTTTAAAAGCTTGCCGGTTTAAGATAAGCAAAAAAGCAACCAGGAGAAATTGTTGCCTGACAGTTTAATGTTTACAATAAAACTGGATGCAAATGTGCATTTATAAAATCAATATTTATTGTTCTTTGGTAATTACAATGTTTCTCAACTGCTGTTACTCCTCTCGGCTGTGTCAGCCATTCCCATTCATCCCAGCG